CAGCCCCATAAATCAAAATGAAAGACAAATAAATACTAAACAAAATCAAACTCACTTCACTAGTAGTAGTCTTGAAACACTTTTAAGGGTGCAGTGAGTACCACTGGCTAGCACTGAGAAGATTTTTCTTATTTCACAAAGTTTTCTGTTGGAGAGTACTATCCTAGGGCAACATTTGTCAAATAGAAAACACTCTGGTAACATCTACTGTTACTGAAAATAAATAAATCCTTTCTTTCAACCCTAACCCAATATACATCTTTCTCAGAAATTTGTGTCAAAACCCTAAAGGTGAGATAATCTAGAGAATGATCGTAAATTATTGGGCAGTGTAAAATAGGCTTTTCAAATGGATATCATAGGGTTCTAGTTTTTTTACTTAAAGGAGAACATTTTCGATGATACAATTATATTTACTTGTTTATATGATTATAGCACATAAGGACCCAATGACTAGAAAATAATATTTGTTTAATTGCAGAGACTTATAGATAATGGGAAGGTTTATACTCAAAATAAGAACAATCCTGCAAATTTCTTCATATTTAGCATCAGCTGCTTTGGGTGGGAATGAACTCACTATTAATATTAAAAATGAGCCTTGGAAGACACATATTGCCTATATTACCAAAACAGTACAGTTTTGATTCCAAACTATGGAGAAAGGTTTGATTATTGAAAAACGTTCAGAGATTTCTTCAAAAATTACCCATTGAAAACACTATTTTTATTATAAATCCAGATGTTCTCCAACAGTTTTATAATATCAGCTCCAAAGAGTCCACAGTGTGATCCAGCTGTTCCCAGCATCAGTTGAACAAGCAAATCTCAATGGTGACCAGTGATGTTGATTGTGTAGTGGAGGAGTAGAGATGCTCAAGCAAAGTTTAAATCCTTGCCCTATTGCTTAAAAGAAAGTTGGAAACACACTAGTTTCACTTTGCTATGTAGAGGGGGTGCATCTGCCTCACTGGATTAGAGGGGGGATTAAAGGAGAGAATATAATAAGGATCCTGGGCCACAGTATATAACTACCTGTGTACACCTTCACCAGTACCCTCGAGCTGTTGGGATAAGTTGTGTAATCTTGTAGCTATAATGGCTTTGGTTTGAGTGAATGAAGATCAATTTTTTTTGAGAAAGAGGGAGATGGGGGAGCGGAGAAAAACTGACATACTGTTGACACTGGATATGACATGCAAAAGCAAACACTGATGAAACAATTACTGTGTGCCAGTCCCTAGGCATTAAAAGAAAAATGTTCCTATTAAGAGCTCACATTGATGCAATCAAGAGAGACCTGTACCTGTGTGGCTGACAAACAGAGTAAATAGCGACAAAAACTAAATAAATCAGGTTTCCAAAAAAATTGTATCAAAATCCAGACAAAAGAGATTAGTCTTGGGAAGACTTCTTCAAAGGACTATTTAAATCAGATGCTAAAATGTGATTAGGGCTTGTGGAATGGAGAAACAATGTATGATATATTCATTATCTTTTATATAAAATATTATAATGAGAAATGATAGGGAAAAGTTCGAAAAATTATATTTGATGACTCTTCCTCTTTTGATGCTTTTGTTCATATGGTTACCAGGAGTTCACTAACTTATTTGTTAAACTTTAGGTTTTAGGTCAGAGGACATATGAAGAGAAGGATGTTATGACAAACTGTGAGGGCCTGTTTTCGTGATACGTGCTAAAGTCTTCCTCTGATAATCCAGGAAGAGGAAGCACATGCAAATTAGACAATATTTCCTCACACATTGCAGAGTCTTTTGGTGCAACGACACTTTCAGAGACACAGGACTGATCAATAGTATAAACTCTCTTGAAAGCACAAAGAAAAAGATGTCCCATTTGAATGGCACAAGAGAGAACATCTTTTACAGTCCCCACCTATGCTGCTACAGATATATTCCCTGCAGCCTGAGCTGGTCCTTCTCAACTCAGCAGGAGGGCCCCAGAGCTGATTTGGAATAGCCACACTGTTTCTCTTTGGCTGAAATGGAGTCACAGCTCCCCCTTCTGGGAGCTAAAGTGCCGTCTAGCTCCACCATTGTGAGGTTGTTAATGGCTTTATTGCAGATGGGCCTAAAATCCCCATGTTTCTCAGTACTTCCCTGCACTCCAAAAAGAGCATCTAAAAGACTAGCAGCACACATTTTAAAAATGAATCTGATTTTAACTTCTGAAGTACCTGTGACTGAAAGGACTGTTATTTTCCTTTCCCTGAGGTTGTGAGTCCCATTCCACGTACAGGTCATGTGTTACCCAGTGTAGCTCAATTCCTATGGAGATTAGGTCTCAGCGGAGGAAATGTAACAGGAAGGGAGACTTTCTGGCCCTGTATTGTACAGTCCTGTGTATGGAGGCCTGCATATTCTTGCATATGCTCCTGTGCCTATATCATGAATGTAGAGAAGTGAGATTTTAATTAATGTAAATAAATTCATTTTCCTGAAGTATTTGCATAGATGGCTAAGTATATACTTTGCTCTCAAGAAAGCAAAGCTTTTCTCATAAAAAGCTCAAATATAGTCCAAATGCTCTACTTGGTTCTATGTACCAGTCACATAGTCTTGGGTTCCCACATGCATGTAATTGTCCGATGGAAGTGAAAGGAGAATCTATCTTATCTTCTCTCTCTCCCTCCTCAACCACCTCTTGTGTGTACATGTGTACATGCGTATTAATGTTTTTGTGAAGTAAGAGGAATGACCGAGACACTAGGCACTGTCTCTCCTGGGTCAGGATTCCACAAGAAAAAGGTCTGAAATGCATCTCTGAAACAAGTCCCAGAAGGGAAGACAAGCAGTTATGTGGGTGGGAGTACGGTGGGCAGGTAGGATTAGGAAATGTTATGACTCCTGGAGTTAGAACAACATAGATCTGGCTGAAAACAGCCTGAGCCCTGGGCATGCCACCAATTTGCTAGGGAATATTGGGGAATCGCCGTCCTCTCTTGGAGCCAGAGTCCTGCCTATTTACTCTTTAATATGCATTCCAGTTCTGATCGTTTATACATTGGAAATACATAATAAGAACTCTTTCTCTGTCGATACCCCCTCCCACAAATGCATGAGGAAGCTGTGCTCAAACCAGAGCTTTGCAAAAAGTCTACACTATGGCCATGGCCTCCTGAAGGCTTCAACCAGAGAGATCAGCCCATAGCCAGGGAATGGTATGTGTGCAGGTGCTTGCAGGTAGAACAGTCACACACCAGCTGGGGCAGGTTCCTACAAACACACACGTTTGCTTTTATCGCTCCTCAAAAGATATACATATATAAATATTTTTAAATGGTATGTTTTTCTTTTCTTTCTCTCCCAGAGGCCTTTCCAATGAGCCTTTGGAGACACTGCATCCCACCACCTCAGCCTCGTCTTCAGCTTCACTGCTTACAAGCAGAATGGCTGCCATTTACCTTGAGAAAGTAACAGCTGCCTAGTCTGGAAGCCATGCTAACAGCAGTAAAACTCAGCATTTTTGCTGAGTAGGGCAAGCCTTTAAGAGGCAGCCGGGAATCAAATCAATGGCTGGCTCCGGAACCACGGCCTAACACTACCTGGGTAGGGTGGTCAAAGTATTTACCTATACCAGCTGCTAAAAGGTGGAGGAAATAGGGAGGAGACCTTTAACTCAAATGGTCTTCCCTTTCTCGAGAGCCTCCACAGGGACCCCTGCCATGGCCGTATTTTAGAGTCAAGTATCATCTGCGAGGTGCAAATCAGACAGCTGTTTAAGTCAACTACCACAACAATCTATCATGGATTCCCCACTCACAATCCCTCACAAATTGTAGGTCTCCCTTGGTCCTTACACATAAAGACTGCCGCCTCTGCACACACACATATCAATCTCTCTCCCTTCTCCCAGTATCTTCCTAACTTCCTGGAGCCTCGGAAAAGCAGAGCTTTTAGAAGAGATTCTGGATCCTCCAAATCTTGCCTGAGAGGGAGAAAGCAAAGGGAATAAGTCCTAGGAAAGTACGCTATCCATCTCCTGCCCGATCACCCACAGCTGCCCCAAATTATATTTTTCTCTAGGACCCTGTGCGACTGCGGTGGAGAAGCACATCCCCAGAGGATGCTTACTCTTTTCCCCTGAAAAGATTCTGACAAACTTGCCCAGATGACCCTCGCAAAAAAGGGTGGGGGGCTCTGCTGTGATGTCAACAGGAGACAGGGCGAGAGCTCAACCCCAGACTTGCCTGCACTAGATAAGGAGATCCCTGACTTCCTCCTTTCCTTTGCACTCATTACCCAGCCTCTCCAAATTCCCATCACAATCCTGGAGTCTGACCAGTGTGGAATTTAAAGGGACAGCATCTCCTTTGCCTCGGATTTTGGACATGTCTCTATCATTTTAAGCAGTGAGTCCAAGTGTGCAACACTACCCACGGTTTAGAGGACATTTTCCTTCAATGGTACCTACATTGGGTTAAATAAGGCACCGTCTGTATTCCTGTCATCTCCCCCAAACAAGCCCAGAGCCCTGAGAGGAAGTCCACAGCGGGCTTCCCCGTGGCTACGTGATTGTGTAGTAAGAAACCCATTCCATCCACTGTAAGCTGAAGATATCTAATTAAAAATACACAGACGTGCTCAAATGCAAACACATACACACACCAATACACACATCGCGCTGAAAGTAGGTTATAGGGTTTACACACACACACACACACACACACACACACACACCAAACGCAAACGACGCCTTACAGGCAAACACACACGAGCACCACATCAAGTTCCCACCATGGTACACACATCGGGAGCGCGCGGGGACACACGCCACTTACTAAAACCCGCATTTAACCCTTAGAGCCCAAGCTACAGGGACCCCAGTCTCCAGAAGCAGCAAGAACTTGGAGGCTAGGGAAACCGGACGAGGGTGGGAGGGGGAAGGGAGGCGCAGGCAGGGGCGCCCAGACTGCGGTCCGGGGCGGCTTCCAAGGGCAGAGGGGCTATGGGATGCTGTGCCCGGGATCGCCTTACCTGGAGTCAATGTCCGTCTTTGGCGGAGAGCAGCGGAAGGGCGCTTTTTATTCGGCTCGGTGGGAACTTGGAAGAGCCCTGCGTCCAGCTCGCATACCGGGGACGGCGCGGGGACTGCAGGCGTGGGGGTACCTGGCTTCTAGCAGCCTGGCTCATACTCAGCCGTAAAGTCCCCTTTGCTGGTCCCGAGGACAGGCATGAATCCCAGTTGCGGAAGGCAGTCACTATTCCCTCTGCCTCCGGTTCTCTCGCCCTCTCCTTTGCCTGTGCTTTTCTCCTCCTCCTGCCTCCCCCCCACCGCGCCAGATCAGTTCGCAGCCGTGGGGACCGGGAGAGAGGCGGCTGGCGAATGGAGAGGGAAGTCCAAGTACGCGGCGGTCTCCGGGCGGGGAGCGGAGGAGGCCGGCCTAGGCAGAGGGAGGGACTTCGCTGGCGAAGGAGGAAAATGAATGGGGGAGCGACTGCCTGGGGGCGGGGAGGGAGGAGCCTAGCGCCCGGGTGGATTCCTAGGAGTGTTTTGTACATCTTTAGACGGAGGAAGAGGAGGGAGAGAAGTGGGGCCTCGCGGAGGGAGGGGCGTCCTGGGTGGGCCTAAGATTAGCCACTGGGGAAGTCTCATGGGTCTGGGGACAGCGCGGCAAGTCTTTGTATAGGAGCACCCAAAGGGACCGTGTGCCCAAATCCCGATTCTAGAAGAAACGGGTCTGTAGCTCAGTGATGCATGAGCGTCTGTGTGTTTCTGATTATGCTGGAGCTCGGCGTGACTGCGTGTACGTACCTGAGTGTGGTTTTGTCTGGGGTGACGCACGTCTCAGTCCCGTTGTGTCTCCGTGTTTTCCCGTGACTGTTAGAGATTGTTTTTGTGTGTAAGCGAGAGCCCACTTAACCTCTCAGAATGTATGCATTTTCTTCCTTACGAGAAGGATGTCGGAGTGGGAATCCAAAGAGAACGCAAAGTTCTCTAGGGACCACCAGAGACATGAAAAACGCCGGGATAGCGAGTCTAAGACAAGAATACAGATAGCAGAAATACTCCGAATTCAGGCTGAGGTGCAGAAGGGACCTCTTACTGAAGGGAAACAGAAGGAAAGCCCTTGCAAGATCTGAATCCCCACAGGGTATGCATTTTGTATATTTTGCTTAGTTCGCTGGAGGCTTAAATCACACGAAAAGTGCAGATTCCTAGTCCCTTGAAGATTTGGCCAGGATGAGAAGCTAGGGTGAAACTACTAGAGGGAGAAGCGGGAAGCCACAAGAAAAATGTTGGAAATTGTAAAGAAGTCCAGCTTCAGTAAAAAGTGTAAGTGCTGGGTGTGAACTGAAATTTTGTCTGTGTGTGATCTTGGCCAAGTTACCTTAGCCTTCACATTCTCACTTGTTTAATACGATGATATAATTTACCCTCTCTATATAATATAGGGTTGCTGTGGAATTGAAAACGAAATATATTTATATATGAATGTATATGTATATATAGACAGGGGAATGATCCCTCCTATATAGCTAATACAGTGAATGCTTTGATTACTACTGTTATTAATGTATCTATTGCCCAAAAAGTGACAAGAGAGAGATGCAGTCAGTCTAAAATAGAAGGGCCATTCTATTTTCAGTGACTAACTGAAAAGGAATTTTGAAGTAAAATGAAAGAAAAATTCTTGAAAGGCAAGCTAGAAACTTGAAAAAATGCGGTAATTGATAAAGAAGGTAGAGAAATAGAGGGGAATGAGGCAAAGACAAAAAGAACTGTACGGTCTAGCAAGGGGTGGAGAGAGAAGAGCAGAACCAGTGACCAGCTCCTCTGCAATCAAAATGAGAGTGAGTCAGTACCACGGACAGCTCTCCGGCCACTGACCAGATGAGCGATTTTTCTCTTTCTGACTGATGGAAAATTCTCTTTTTCTTGGGCAACAATTTTGTTCTTCCTTTGGTTTTTGGCCTGAGTTAAGGTCCTCGCCAGTGGTTCTTGGAAGGATTGCAATTACGAAGAAATACAATCACCACACTCCTGCTTCCCCGTTCGTATTAGCATGGAGCCCCAGTTATTATCTCCTAGCCTTTCCTTTCTATCTGTATCACACTGCTTCCTAGTTATTTGCTCCATCCTGTTTTTGCTCTGTCACCCTGAGCTCAGAGCAGCCTCACTAAAAAATACCAACAACAGCTGGTGATGCAGTCCAGAAATTGGTAAAAACAACCTAGTCCGATGAAGACCAGGTTACAAATTCATCCCTCTTCATATCTCTTCCCTCATAATTAGTCTCTTATGGTAGGATGCAGTCAAATAGGGCACTTAAAAACATGAAATGTCATTCTGATTTTACCTATCATTCAACACAGTCAATATTTCACTCAGAAACACACAGCCTTTTTAGTTCTAAACGCTGCGATATAGAGATAAAGAGAAAGGAAGGAAATTATTGAAGTTTTACCAGGCACTAACCTTCATTTAAAGTATTTTCTATATAAGTCTCCAAATGCTATATGATGAGACAAGATAATAGTTCAGTTGCTAGAGTGCTTTTCTCACATGCAAAATGCCCTAAGTTTGATCTCTAGCACTGTTTACTAGGTGCATGTGCCTAAAAAAATACCAGCACTGGGGTGTTGAAGACGGAATAATTAGAAGCTCAGAATAATTCTTAGCTACAGTGAGATTGAAGCCAGTCTGGGATACATAACACACTGCCTCAAAAAAAATGCTGAGTGTTTTGAGACAAATAATGCTGCACCATTTTTATGTAGTGGGAAACTAAGCTCCTTGACACATGAAGAGCACACTTAGATGCATGTCACTATGATTTGATGATCCCCAGAATTCCACACTCATGTCCACATCTAAAATATTTATTGTCTCCAAAAAATAATGGGGAAACCCTGGGATGATTGGAATCTGATATTGGGATTTAATGGAGCACTGGACTCAATTTAAATACAAACCTAAATCCATGGATCCCTTCCCTAATATGTGCCAATGAAGGATTTATTAGCAATTGTCCCTAGAGGAAGATGTGAAGATTTTGTAGGACACATTCAAGATTCACAGGAACCTCACTGGTTCTGAGTTTTGGATAAAACCTCAACCTTTCTGGGTCTTAGCTCATTTACATTTGACTCTGTTTAGCTGCCACATTTCTATGAAGCAAGGCTGAGAGAGCCATTTAAAACTGTCTCTTTGGAATCCTTGGTCATCAGGAAAGTTCCTAGTGCGAAGCATTCCTAATGACTTATGGAGAAAGCAATCAGAACCATATGGATCACATTTCTGCAGAAATACACACTGGTGGGAAAAGGTTTAGAGGCCAAAAATATACTTCTTTTTTTTTTTCTTTGCCAAAGAAAGAACATTTAAGGAAGCTTGAGATATGTGAGAAATGTCTTGTTCTTTCTTTGGGGTGGGTGTTGGTGAGCAGCTGCTTGCTATTTCCACAGAATTTACAAAAAGCTTGCATGGGGGAGGAGTGTCCAACAAATTAAGGTGACTTGAGTGAGAACTTACTTTCTGTGGACCTTGAGGTGATTCTTATAAAGGGACCTTGATCAAGGACATTTACTCAGAAAATGGGATTGTGCACCATCTCATTCCTATTGTGATGGATTAGATGATGCTTGTAAGTCTTGGTTGATATTGACAGTGTCAAATTGCTACTGACTCTCTGTATTGTGGCAAGAAAAAATGTTTATGAAAATGTCCTGAACTTTTTTTTTTTTTTTTTTGGTTTTTTGAGACAGGGTTTCTCTGTGGCTTTGGAGCCTGTCCTGGAACTAGCTCTGTAGACCAGGTTGGTCTCAAACTCACAGAGATCCACCTGCCTCTGCCTCCGAGTGCTGGGATTAAAGGCATGCGCCACCACCATCCAGCAATGTCCTGAACTTTTGACAAGGCTTTTCTAAATCTCTCTTTGCCAGTTGTATTCACTGATGCCTGTCCCTGGGGAATTCTGAAACCTTCTTTCCCAATTCCCCTCACTTGTGAGAGATGCCTCACAGAAATTAAAAAAGAAACCAACAGGAAAACAAGCAAAAAACAACATTTGATTTGAGAAATGCTAAGAGGTACAAATAAATATTCAGGATGAAATGAAGAGGCCCTGATACCCTCACCTTAAATAAAGACAAGGTTTTTCTCCTATTTGTTTAGGACGATGAGCCATCTGCTGCAGCCTCCAAGGCTGTCAGACCTCAGAGAAGTTAAAAAATCCCTTAATCTGGGATGCTTTAGGTTCAAAGTGGGCTGAACATCTGTAGAAAGAAGCCTGAATTTCTTTAGGGGCTACTGAAACTTAGATCCTGGGACGACTTCAAGATGAGTGATTCCTTGACTTCTGTTTCTCAAGAGTCTGATATGTTTTGCATAGCCAGATGTAGGCCAAATCATCACAACGTATCAAAGGATATAGTCCTGTTCTTCAGAACACTTACAAACTTCTGGAAAAGCTCTTAAGAAAGCATTCATTTCTCTATCAGGTCTAGCATATTGCAGGTCTAGTGTAAAACAGCAAGATCTGGTTTTTATTGCATCTTAAAAACAGTTGAAAGAGCAGAAACTAGTATGTGTTAGTTTTTCAATATATTTATGTTTTATTTGGATGACATATATGCCATATTTATTTTTGTATGTGGAGCATATGCATGCCACTATGTGTGTGTGTGTGTGTGTGTGTGTGTACACATGTAAGTCAGAGGACAATTTTGGGGGTCAGTTTTTCTTCTTTCAATACATGGATCCATAAGATTGAACTCAGATAGTTAAAATCTGCAGCAGCAAGCATTTTGACTCTATTAGACATATCACCAAATATATGCATTGTGTGTGTGTTTTACTATATGTTTCAGTGTGTGTATATGTCTGTATGTGTAATTCTATGTGGTTCTAAAAGTGTGGTTCACCTGCATATGTGTGTAGGCTTGTGGGAAACGGACTGATATCACGTAATATCTTTCATCATTCTCCACCTTATTTACTGAGGCAGTTCTCTCAGCCGAACCCAGTGTTCACAGATGAGCCTACTCTCACTGGCCTGACTGGTCTGGGGTTCCCATGTATTCACCTCTGAACTCTGGAGTTAAAGGTGTAGCAACACATTCACAAATTTTACATAAGTTCTGGAAATCTGAAACACTGTCTTCATGTTTACTAGGCAAGCATTTTGACCACTGAGCTATCTTGCTAGCCTGGAATTGGTATTTATTAATCTATGTAGGTCAGAAGAATTCAGGCTTTGCCTGTCCCTCACTGAAGTTTATTTGAACATCTGCTCACTGAACAGAATTCTATGTTGTGTGTCCTCTGTATCTCTTTTTTCCCCACATCTCTCCTTCTGATCTAAACCTT